AAAATTAAACAATTGCATGAGTTTGAGGAAGATAAAATTAACTTTTTTAATTATTTTTTTAAAAAGGAAGTCAGTGTTGCGTTAATATATATACTTTTTTGTTTAAAAAAAGAAAAAAAATACGTAATTATGAGAGTGTCCTTTATTTCACTTGAGCCCCTGCCCCTCAAAATGTCTGTGCACGTCCCTGAATGTAACCATTGTTTTAATACAAGCTTTAAATTACTAATTTAAATTTTAGCTAGGTTGTGGGGGAATGGGGGCAGCTGGCCCTGTCAATTATCATTGGGGTGGGGGCATGCAGCTGGACCTGTCAATCATCGTTGGGGTGGGGGCATGCAGCTCCGCCCAAGGTACCACCTAACCTTTTTTTATGCGTGTTTAACTGTTATCTACTTATACAACGTGTCAAGTTTTAGGTTACCACCATTCTGATTATCTTTTTTCTTATTTATGCCCAATATCATTTTTTGATGTATGGCAGGGTGTTCTCTTTTATCTTCAGGAAGTTTTATGCACAGACAAATCGGGAGGGGTTGTACTATACAGTTGACCAGGATGACTTACGGGGACAAATACCACCTGTATGGGAAAACTCTTACCCCAACTTCAAAAAAGCTTTTTATGCATGGAAAGACAAAATATCAATTTGATATTCTATTATGGGGCAAATACCAGTTCAGTCTACTCAGTGTACAGTGACTACAGCTGCCAGCAGTTAAACATAATAATAAAGATTCAATGACAGTCTCTTATATTGTTTAAACACTAATGGGAAAAACAGACGTACTAATATTCAAATTAATAATAAATTATACATTAATTATAAACATGAGGTTATCAAATGTGATACACCTACACCAGAAGTAAAACATTGATGATAATGCCATTCACTATACGACGTCACTAAGTCACTTGAAAAGTAACTAGTGTGTTCAATTGGTGCATGTCATACATTCTAAACAGGGTAAATACCAATTCAGTGTACTCAGTGTACAGTGACTACAGCTGTCAACAGTTAAACATAATAATAATAATAATAATAAAGATTCAATGACAGTCTCATATTGTTTAAACACTAATGGGAGAAACAGACTTACTAATATTACAATGAATAATAAATTATACATTAATTATAAACAAGAGGTTAACAAATGTGATACACCTACACCAGAAGTAAAACATTCATGACAATGCCATTCACTATAGTACGTCACTAAGTCACTTGAAAAGTAACTAGTGTGTTCAATTGGTGCATGTCATACATTCTAAACAGGTCTGAAATTCTACAGATGCTAATACACATTAAATAAGTACTTTTAATAAATCATTTTTTAACATTAATTATAACATCATGTGCTATCATGTTCTGGTGTTCCCCTGTTGAAACTTTCTTTCATTGTGACATCATAATTAAAACTGTAAAGGTGTGTAATCAGCAGGAATATTCAAAAAATAGATCTTCCTGCATTATCCAATATCTAGAACAGGGGTCACCAACATGCCTCCAAGGACCACATGAATCGCCAGCGGACCTGTTCTAAAAATAGCAGAACTCACCAGTGAGCAGCGTCTAAAATAAAAATTTATCCTGTTGCTATTCTTCTTTAATCACATTTGCATATATAGATTTGAAAATGACAATATCTAAAGAAAAAGCATTTAAAACATGTTTATTATACAAGAAGTTTAGATAAGTTTAGGAGGGTGTTTCAAACTGGTAGCCCTACGTATGGCTCAGTACCCATGACGTAGCTCTCAGTTTCAAAAAGGTTGGTGACCCCTGATCTAGAAGATGCATCATATCTACAGTAATACTAAGTAAAAGGTCTTTCATAAATATTCATCCCAATTACACTGACCAGTTGGAAGATCGTCAAATATCAAAAGAGATGTAACTTGAGATTTTATCAATACTTATCACTGAAAATTAAACTTAAAGTGTTACCACTGTACAGGAGGTTTTTCATGTCATCATGGCTATATGACAGATCCACATGTGGATCTTAGTATTACTGAATATCAGAACTGACTATAGATCCACACACTGAATCTTGTCTAAGGCTGATTTATCTTGGTGTTATTCTCAATCATGCTTTTAAAAGAGTTGACTAGCCAGCATCTGAATGAAGGGTCACCGAATTAGGCAGTCTTGGTGCAGTCCATCCCAGGATTGATGAAGGAGAAGTTGCAGAACACGGTCTGATCCACGCTATTAATGAGGGTGCGATCAGCGCACGAAAGTCGAGGCTTCTCATTGATGAACTCCTTGTCAAAGTTATTATAATCACCAGGGGATTTCTGTAATTGGGATCAGGGAAGAAAACAGATTCAATCCTTAAACTTAAATTAAGTCATGATTGTATATAGTGAACTTCTTATAGCTAAGAAAGTTTAATTAAAGCCACTTTCCTTCCACTCCATATGGTGAAGACATAAGAGGGATAGAGTAATACAATAAACAAACAAAACAGTTTTATAAAAAGATAAAAGACAGATATATAACATCCTCCATAAATAAAAATGAAAAGAAAGAGGAGATAAAAGATGACACCATCAGAAGTTAAGGTCCTTACTACAGTGGGTTGGAAAGGAGGTTTGATCTGCCGATTCTCTAAGGCACTCCAGTCCACAGATGCGAAGAATCGGTGCTGCCGGATGTTCCCCTTTACTCCTAATCTCTTCTCAGGCTCCCGTACAAAGAGCTGAAATCAGTTCCAACATTATGTCAAGCTACAGCCTCTCTACCAGTTGTACAGAATCAGTTTTTACATTTTTCCCACTCTATTAAAGGGCCATTTCATGTTTGCAGGCTTTGTTTAGTTGTTGACAATAGCACTTTTAAGGTGTATGTGTTACTTTTTCCTATTATATGCATAAGTAGACTGATGGGATTGGATTCTGATATATGTGTCACGCCCGGCTCGTCTGATCCTCGTGTGTGCCACGCCCCCCTCGTTACCTCGTGTTACTTCCTTTTTTTTTGTTAACAATTATTTTATTGTCAATTCAGAATGGTAGAGAATACAGTACATTATTTTAGACTAATACCATACCCCCCACCCACCAACCCACCCACCCGGTAGACTTATTCAGTACAGAGGATATACAGGATATTGCAGTGGAGAATGGTACAGAATGTAATACTTAATCACAAGAAAAGTAAAAAAACTATACATCAATACAAAGTAAACTGTACGTCAGAGAGAGGTAACAAAAGATTTAACAATATCAAAAGTAGCAGTCCAGGTCTTTAAAGTTTTTGTCTTTGCTCCATGGATGTGGGCTGTAGATAATTCCAAAGCGACAATGTCGAGCAGGGATAAGCCCCATACACGTCTAGACATTAAATGAGGAGGAATCCGGGGACTGACCAACATTTTCTTAGCAGCAGTGAGAGCAGCTAAAAGTAGATTTCTCTGTTGCTGTGACAGAGCCAATCCAGAAAAGTTATTTAAAAAAAAAAGATTCAGAGTCAACACCACATCTTTCTCTAACAAGAGTGAAATGTCATGAGCAAGCTGAGACCAGAAACAAGAAAGTGCAGAGCACTCCCAAAAAAAATGTAAATATGTGCCGAGGGCCCTCTGCGGACATAGATTACACTTTGGGGAAGGTGACACATGCATATAAAAACGTTTTAAAGGAGATAGATAGAATCTATGTAGTAATTTCCAGTGAATCATCTGATGATTTGGGTTTTTTGACTATGACATAATTGTCTTCCAAATTTTATCAGAGAATAAAGTTTGTATGTCACCACTGATATCCTTAGACCAGACAGTTGTTATTGATAATGGTTTGTATGAGTTTTTGGAGAGAAAGGAGTAGATATCCGAAGCAGCAATAACAGAGTTCTCAGTGGGAAGAATAACCTTCCGCAAGGGATGTATAGGCAATTGTGCATCCCAGGGGACTCCATATGCGCGAAGAGCTGACCTAATGCGAAGATACATAAAAAAGGAGGTTCCTGGTAGATTGAAAAGAGCCTTAATATCTTGAAATGATTTCAGGCCTTTATCATCATAGATGTCACCAAAGGAATTTACTTTACATTTGATCCATTGAGGACAGTAAAATGGGGATTTGCCTGATAGAAAATTATAATTATTGAACAGGGGAAAAGCGAAGTTTGCATTGTCTAAGTGAGACACCAGAAAAAACCACATACTTTATATTATGAGGAGAAACAAGAGATTCTTCAATAGCCCACCATGAGGTTGACACATTTGGTTTAAACCAGGTTGATAGAGCATGGAGAGTGAAGGAATCAGCATATAACTTGAAATTAGGAAAGGACCAGCCCCCATCTGATCTGCTACGCTGTAAAGTAGATAGTTTAATTCGTGGGCGTTTACCATTCCAAATATAATGGGATATTGCTGAATTGAGTTTTTTCCAATAGCCAACTGGTGGGGGTAAAGGAATCATGGCGGAATAGAAATTAACGCGAGGGAGGATGTTCATTTTAACAACATAAATTCTTGCATGGAAGGAAGTAGGAAGATGCATCCAATTTGCAAGATCTGAGGTGACTCTAGCCAGATTGTTATTCAAATTTTTAGAGGCAATATCCTGTAGAGATGGATAGATATCTACACCTAAGCATTTGAAGGAATGCACCACCGGAATAACCCCCGAGAAAGTCGCAGACCCAACACAAAAATTTAATGGAAGCAGATATGACTTTGTCCAATTAATTCTGTACCCTGATAGGGTACCAAACTGATTAAACAAGTTTAAAACGTGGGAAACTGATACAGTATATGTGATGTACAGTATTCCTAACCGATATAGGAAGTATAAGTTTGGATTGACGTACAGCTTGAGCAAGAGGTTCTAGAGACAAAGCAAAAAGTAAAGGTGAGAGAGGACAACCCTGGCGGGTGCCTCTTCCAATCGGAAATGATTGTGAACTTATCTGACCAGTAAGAATGGTAGCTGAGGGATTAGCATAAAGAATTTTTATCATATTTATAAAATTACGGCTAAAACCTAGGTGGTCTAGCACTGCCCACAAATAGTTCCACTCTAAATGGTCAAATGCTTTCATTGCATCTAAAGAGAGTATAGCAGAGGGAGAAGTCAATTGTTCAGATGAAGAAATTATGTGAAGTAGTCTCCGTAGATTATCTGAAGCAGAGCGAGATTTGATAAACCCTGTTTGATCCTGATTGACAAGCTTAGTTATAAAGCCTTCTAGGCGGCAGGCTAAAACTTTGGCATAAATTTTAACATCTGTACCAATCAAAGACAGAGGGTGGTAACTGGAAGATAAAGTAGAATCTTTATCTTTCTTTAAAAGAAGAGATATAATGGCCATGTTCGTATTTTGTGGAAAAGACCCTTGAGCAATTGAATATTGCATCGTATCTAGCATAAGGGGCCCCAAATTGGACCAAAAGGTCAAGTAGAACTCAACTGGTACGCCATCTAGGCCTGGAGATTTCCCTTTGTTCATAACTTGGATTGATGATTCTAATTCAGTAAGAGATAAGGGTCTAGCTAAGAACTCAGAGTCTGATTCTGACAAATGTGGAAGATTAAGAGTAGATAAAAAAGAAGTATAAGATGTGGGTTCACATTTAGAGTTGAGGGTATATAGTTCATGATAGAAGGAACGAAAAGTGTCGTTTATACTCTTCTGGTCAGTCAGAACTTCACTGGTTTGAGATTTTATCGCTGAAATATTAGCAAATTTCTCATTATTACGTAGTCTTAGAGCCAGTAAATGGCTAGGTCTGCTACCTTGAAAATAATAATATTGTCTAGATCTTTGGATGAGAAATTCAGCCTTGCGTCTATATAACGAATTAAGTTCTTTTCTAAGAGTCTCAATTTTAACTGCCATACGATCAGAAAAAGTGTGTTGATTTGCTTGTTCTAATGATCGAAGATTGGATTCCATATCAGAAATTTTTTTGTGGTGAATTTTCTGTCGAAAGGAAGCGTATGAAATTGACAAATTCTTTATGAAGCCTTTAGTCGCCTCCCACAGTATCCGTGGGTCGTCTACCGAGTCTTTATTGACGTCAATGAATTCACGTAGTTTACTTCTGAATTGATCACAAAAACATTCATCTTTTAATAAATTAGTATTAAAGCGCCATCTGGGGGCTCGTGAAGGACGCTCAGTAATTGAAAGCTTTAAAAAATTACTGCTGTGGTCTGAAATAGAAAGGGGAAAGATGTCGACTTCAAGTAACATTGAAGCCAAGGAAGAGGAGACAAAGATGTAGTCAATCCGTGAATATGATTTATGTCTAGCTGAGAAGAATGTATATGATTTTTGGGAAGGGTTGAATAAGCGCCATGCATCTAATAAAGAAAAAGAGGCTATGCATCGGTTAAGTTGCTCAGTAGAAACAGTCTGGGAGTAAGAAGCATTGACACTAGATCTATCAAGATCATTAGACATTACAGCATTCATATCTGTTCCCATTACTATCTCGAAGTCAGTTAGATCAGTGAGATAGGAAGATAATTCAGAAAAAAAAGTAGGATCTGGACTACATGGTGCGTAAACTGAGAGAAATACAATCTTCCTACTCCCAACCATAGTCTTTATACAAGTTATTCTGCCAGCCTTATCACCAGTTCTGTCTAAAATGGAAATATTTAATTTTCTTCTAACAATTATACACCTTTAGTTTTACTGTCAGTCGTCACGAAAGAAACCACCTCGTAGTATTTATTATTGCATCTACGCACGTCATCCTTCAGCAAATGGGCTTCCTGGATTAAAGCAATGTCAACCTTTTTTCGTCTTAATAATTCTAAGAAACCTGTACGTTTGTGGGGGCCATTTAAGCCATTGATGTTGCAACTTAGTATATTAATTTCAGTCATAACTATCCAACAAATATGTGGACTGAACAAATGAGATAAGGTAATACCACTGCAAATTAAAAATCTCAAGTCTACCATTAACCCATCCCTCCCTCACAGAAAAACCCTTTCAAAACAAACACAACCCACCCCATAGAACTTTTATAGACTGGGGTAAACACAAACCCCAGGCTGCCGCCCATCCTAGTCTTAGTCAGTGACAGTAACATGACAGCCTGTATAACACTGTAGAACACCGCCAAAAGCCCTATTTTAAAAGAACAGATTAACTACGAATTCACAGGAGTATCAAAGTGGGGTAATACGTGAAGAAACTTCCAGTAAATGAATGACACATGAACTTCTAAATCAGCAAATCAGAAATCGAGTCACTCAGTATCCTCAAATCTTAGTGCCGCATATTCATACTAGGAGGATGAGAGCCGGGAAGCGAGTTTAGAAATTGACGCGCTCCATCCGGAGATTGCATTAATTTAGTTTCACCGTGTTTCAGGATGATCTTCAGCGTGGCTGGATACTGAAGAAAGGTCTGCAGACCTGCCTCTTTCAATTCTTTCCGTATTGCACTGAAGGAGCTCCTCTTCTTTGCCGTCGTAGGAGAGAAATCGGGGAAGAAGCTCAGCATCGCGCCGTCGCTTGCTTTTATCGGAGCGTGGCATCTAGCTTCATTTAGAATCAGGTTCCTGTCGTGGTAGCGTAGCAGTTTAAAGAGAAACACTCGTGGTTTAGAATGATCCGTTGAAGCTCTGGAGTAAACTCGATGCGCGCGTTCGATCTCGATATCTTTACCCGCAAGTGATGGAATCCAGGCCGGCAATGATCGTTTCAGAAAGCCGGTCGGGTCATCTTTCTCGGCCCCTTCAGGTAATCCTAAGAGCCGGAGATTACAGCGTCTGCTGCGGTCTTGTAGATCGGTCACTTGTTGCTCGAGAGCATCCAGACGGCTAGTTTGTTCATTGATCACTTTTTTCTGCTCTCGTTGTTCCCCCGTTAAAAAGTCAATTTTAGAGCAAACATTTTGAATTAATGTCATGTGCGAGGCGAATTCGGTGCGCATAGCTGCTAATTCGGTTTTCAGAATGTCCTTAAAGCGCTTTATGGTGATCGCCATATTGTCTTCCATGTCTGCCGGTTTATTTTTCTTCTTGATTGGTGAGGATATTGGTGAAGGATAAGCGAGTTTCTGACTGTGTGCCATCTAGAAATCGATGGCCAGCAAAAAAAACTCCCCAAATATACGAAAAGAAGTGAAACAATCGTAAAAGAAGGGCTACATGGCGGAGCTCGGCTAACGTGCGTCTTGGTTCATGAAAGCGTCACGTGACCCCCCCCTCGTGTTACTTCCTGATTGTGATCACCTGTTGCTTGTTCAGTTCAGCTTGTCTTTAGTATTTAGTCCGTGTCTCAGTCAGTATTCCCCAGTTCTGTCATTGTATTGTCATGGTTGATGTTCGATGTCTGCCCGGATCCCATAATAAACCCCGTCGCCTGCTTCCCCGCTCACCTGCCTGCACGCACGTGACAATATGTAATCCTGTAGAGGTTTAAATTGTTTAATGGTGCTTTGGTTTACAGCACAGAAAAGGGAAAAATATAAAAATTAATATACATATTTAATAATCTATATTATATGCAGTTGCAGTGATGAAGTGTCGTTCTAGCTAGGAAATGCTCTTCAGAATATGAAGTAATTTAGTTTTATATGTAACATTGTGTTTTACTTTACAAAGAAAGGGGATATATGGGCACACCTTGACTAGGATGTCATGGGCACTCTTGGGAAGCCAGCAGGGGTAAAAGGGGTCATCGGTGCGGATGGACTGAAACAGTTCTTCCTCATCACGCCCATGAAAGGGAGACTGGCCAATCAGCATCTCATAGAGCAGAACTCCAAAAGACCACCAATCAACAGAGGCTCCATACTTCTGGCCCAATAGGATCTGCACAGAATTAACTGCACAGTTACATCACACAACTAAGATGTAACACACATCTAATAAAAAATGCCATGTCATAATAATAATAAAAGCAAATTATAAGAAGGAGCTGGAACCTCAGGAGCAATGTAGTCAGGAGTCCCACAGAAGGTGGACGTCCTGACATCTCCCTGAATGTTCTCCTTACACATCCCAAAATCAGCAATCTTGATGTGTCCATCAACATCCAGCAGCACGTTGTCCAGCTTCAGGTCTCTGAGATCACAAGTACAAGTACAGTACATACTATCCAGCTAGTTGCAGGAATATATGAAAGTCGTCATATTTAAATAGTGCATTTACTAGGGATGAGTCAGCATTGTCAAATATTCAATAATGTCTATAAAATTGAAAAATAAATCTTGGCTATTTTAAATGTAACTTATCAGCAATATAATTAGTTGTGATTTTTCAGTTTCCTAAGGTACTTCTGCAGTTTTTGGGGCCCCAAGTAGCTACCTACTCTTGCCTTATGTTAAATCTGCCCTGCTCAATTTGTGAGAAAACAAAAATGAGTGACATAAACAAGGGAACAAGGACTGTTCACCATAAGACATTCGTCTTTTGCCGTATGGAAATATTTTGGACTGAACATGATATTGAGCAACAGCAACTGTGTGATTGATATATATGTTTGGGTCAATTTTCAATTCTTGTTTTTCTTAATGAATATATTCATACTTTTTGCAAAGATTTCACAGTGTGCCCTAATTTCAAAGCTACTATTTGTTTGTTTTAAGTTTTTGCAGCAACAATGTCTTATTTTGTATGGAAATAAATTCATGGAACTGCCTATAAGCCAGAGATCCATTGTTGGGATTATTTTGTTAAAAATAAATATATGACCATTGGCTGTAATTGCCCAAGAAACACGCTCCCACATTTGAGCTATTTAATTCAAATTTTTTTCATTTTAGTTTTATTTTTTTGTGGTAACAATTAATATCTCATTTTGCATGGAAATAAGTATTTTGATCCATACTGCATACATGTGTTATGGAGCGGCATGATGGAATGAAAGCACAGTGCGGCTTACAAACGCAAATGGAATTTATTGTGAATAGAACTCAGAAAGACAAGAAACCAAAAGGGAGCACAAGCTAAAGCTAAACTAAACACAAGGGAAAAAGTAACACCAAAACATTTGGGGGAAACTCAGGCATGACACAGCTTCAGGGACCACACATGCAAGAACACAATGCAATGAGGAACATGCAAAATACACCTAAATACACAGATAACAAGGGCTTCAACAAGAGACAGGTACAGACTATAACTAATCAACCAAACTAAGGACCAGGAGTACAAGGATCAGGTGAGGGTAATAATTAATCACTACAGACTCAAACACTAGGTGAGACTAGGAACAAGGGTCAAAGATCATTTCAACAAACTGTTTATACTCAGGGATAACAAAACAACAAAACAAGGATCCATACTGAAAACCAATAGATACAAAATACATAATTAAGAAGGGTAAGCAAAACAAAAAATGTCCAACATAGTTGAGGCTGGCCACTGGCTAACCTCTAGCCTACAAAAGTAGGAAATGCATGGTTCTTAACTGCATGCTCCATACAGCCACAAAGCAGCCTGGGGAACAGTGGAACACAGTAAAACCAATGAAGGGTGCTAACAAGGAAACAACTAGGGAAACACAGAATGATATGTCAGCCTGTGACACCAGCTGGCCATTGTAGGGATGCAACGGACAGGACCAGACAGTGCAGGGATCAATCTGACAATATGTTTCTCTGTGTGTGGTTGGAGTGAGGTGGAGGCGGGAGTAATCAAACAGTATTTGAGTAATGGTTGGCGAAGTTTGCCTAGCAATTCTGCAATTCTCTGAAAGACTCCTCCTTTGTATTTACCTGTATATGATTCCTTTAGAGTGAAGGAACTGGAGGCCACAGATGATTTCAGATGCATAGAACCTGAGTTGACCAAAGTTAGATGATGGCATAATGGAAAGAGAGATAATTTGAGTGGATAAATTACTTTGCAGCATGTGCAACAAAGGCAAAACCATAGGTTACAAGCTATACTTACGTTGCTCTCTGTAGGCTGAATTTCTGACAGTTCTGTATATGGAACATAAGATCACCACCATTCAAGTACTCCATCACAAAGAAGAGATTTTCCTGTTGAAAGCAAAAGCATAGTTACTCATCTTAAAACTCAAGTCTATCAAAATGAAAGATTGACTATGTAGTACAGTATATCCTTAGCCTCAAGACAACTGGATATAAGTAGACATAAATGTACTCTTAAGCCTAGTTCATACTTTACGTTTTCCGCGTGCACTTTCATGCGATTCCGGTCTGGGGACAGTCGTCCACACGGTAGCTAGTAGGGATGTAACGATACACTCAACTCACACCACATTATTCACGATATAATTTTATCATGATTTTTAGCAGAATGAGCTGCAGACAAATTATTCAAAAATGTTCCTTTATTTAAATTTCTAAACTGTGCAAAATGTGTCCTCTTCTAAACAGTGCAACTGAAATTGAATAAAACACTGTATTAAAAAATCCCAAATCAAAATAAGCAAATAAAACAAATCTTCAAATAAATAAACTAAGGCTTGCGTGTGCAGCTTTTTAGCATGGTTTGCCCTTTTAATAATTTTCTCTCAGCTCACTGTGGTGCTGGTGGACATGCTGAAGCATGCTCATTGTGCTATTTGTGTATGTTATCAGTCTTTTACAATGTTTGCACGCAGTTTTTGTTTTTCTCCCTGTTTTCGTTTGTGATTACCGCATAGCTAAAATGCTGCCACACCGACGATTTAAGATCGGGCGGTGTGTCTATCCATCCATCCATTTTCTGAAACCACTTAATCCCAACTGGGGTTGTGGGGGGACCGGAGACTATCACGAGAACAATGGGCACAGACGGGAACCAACCCCAGGCAGTCATCTACACACCACAGGGTGCACACACACACAACTACAGGGCCAATTTACACTCACCAGTCAACCTATCCTCCACGTTTTTGGACTGTGGGAGGAAACCGGAGCCCCCGGCAAAAGCGTGCAAACTCCACACAGAAAGGACCCGGGACTGAAAGCAAGACCTTCTAACCACTATGCCACCATGCCGCCCAGTAGCATGTCCTCAATTTCAAATTTGCTCGCCATCTCGCATTCGGTAAAAACCAAAAACTGTCGTCCAGCGTCGACGTGAATACACAGTGACATCTGATGTCGAACTGACATCATGAAATCAAATGTAATATTACACCAGTTTTTCTGTTAAAGTATTGTGAAGTATTCCTAAAGTAGCGATTCATTTTCCACATCAGCCGGTTTAAATCGTCATACATTTACATCTATTTCTAATTGATTTGCGATTCATCATTACATGCCTAGTAGCTAGTGTTTATACTGTGGGTGAGTATGGTTGCGGTCGGCGCATGCGTCCTGCAATGATATTCCTCCAGACCAGCAGAGGGCAGATGTTCTCTCCTAGGTGTGAATGAAGCTTATGCAAAAGCAGAAGCACAAGGTTTCTGCTAGACATAAAAAGCTGGGCTACACGCACACCAACCACAGTCATCCACAGCCAGCCCCTGATGACGATATATACGTCACATCCCCTCATCCGCAACTGAAAGTGCATGTAGAAAAGTGAAGTATGATGTCTGATGAGAATTTTTTGGTGTATTTAGCTAGACGTTCATTTCTCTACATCAATCTGTCTTTCAGAACCCTCAGACAATGTTGTCTATAAAGAGAGATGGATGATCCTTCCATCTCTGTCATTGGGTAATTCAGGAGGGATGTTTTCTCACAGTCTACATGGGTGGTCACCTTAGTCTGGAATGTGCAATAGAGGTGTGTGAGGTAAGGGTGTTCCCAAGCCAGAGACAGGACCCTCCTCTCCACCATGGTACATTCCACATCATCATCCATGAGGACCACATCCTTTTTCAAAGCCTTCACTGCAAAAAACTGATTGCCGGACTTCAGTTCAGCTAGAAACACCTGTAAAAGTAAAAACTCAAGTCACAGATATTTTTTAACAAATGGCAGAAGATGTTTCTTGTTATCGAAATAGATGTGCTGTTTGTTAAAATTTCAAATCTTTGTTTAAAATTAATATTATTCTTTATTTTCAGTCAAATTCAAACTCTGAAAATGACCTTGTAAATGATCTTGTAGGGGTTTGAAAATGACTGCAAATATATTTGTGCTAACATCAGTGGTCTGAAGAAGACCTTGCCAAAGCTGCCCTTTCCCAGCAGTTTGTGAAGGATGAAATTGTCAATGGTTATCTTGGCAGGCAGACTGTGAAGAGGCAGCTGCTTCTTGTCTGTGGTGATTTTCCACAATGGGCTGAGCAGATCTGTAGGAGGAAACCAGCATACATATTCTTGGCCACATCACTGTCCCCAGCTTCAGTGGCTTTCCTGATTTACTTTCATGCCCACTGACAATGTGCATGCCAGTTTCCTCATTTGCACACTATTGATGTGCTTCACTTCAGATGACACCAGAAATGCTTTTGGTGTGACTCTGATACCTTTACACTCTGGGGTGACCGAAGGTGTGCTTGAGATACATCCAGATGGCTCTTGGATCACGCCAGGCTGGTCGATGCTAACTGGACCCTCTCGACCAATGATTTCATTACTACGGGAAGTTCTAGCCTGCTTTATATACAAAAAAAAGTACTGTCAGTCCTGGTGATTAGAATATTGGTGAAGAATAAAATTGACTTGCTGCGTGCTCTCAGTCCTCACTGGTACAAAGTAAAACCAACCTGCTGTTTGTTCTCATTGGTACTAAGGGTGCTTTTCCATTGCACCGGATATCGTACTAGTACCAAAAGTACAGTACTTTAAGATGTTGGTGTTCCACTGTCATAGAAACTGATACCGGTGGCGAATGACATTACAATGTAAGGTGGGGTATTTTCTATTCAATTTGGCTGTAGTATATTATTGAACTGTTATGCATATGCAATTACATGGACATTATTGCCCAGGCTTTTAAGTTTCACTATAACATTTTTACTCCGTCATTGAAAAAAACTGAACAAGCTTTGCAATTGTAAGGATTATTTGTCAGGGTCAGTCCCAGTCCTTCCTGTCTTCCCTTGTTGTCAGTCTGTAGTGTTTCCACTGATTTCCATCAGCCGCGTGGCTCAACGAGCTGAGCATGTGGCTACCTGTTAGTCCCTCTGTTATGTGTTTGAATCCTGCCTCCTCTATTTTTGTTCCCTAGTGTTTCATTGGTTTAATCAATTTCTCCTAGTTCCTGTGATTTTGTGGTTTTCCTTTTTGGTTTCTTACTTTGTGCATTGTGTGTTACCTGTCTTTCTTATTCCCCCATGTTAGATTCTGTTTTCCTTATTTCTTTGTCAGTTCCTAGTTTCCCTGTTGAGTTTCTGATTAATTATTAGTTTCATCTGTAGCCTGTTTCCTAACCCTTGTTAATTAGCCTCACCTGTCCTGTGTTAGTCTCGTTACCCCTTAGTATTTAAGTCCCTGCCTCTGTTCAGTTCTCCAGTGGTTTGTAGCTGGTTACCTGGTTGTTCTGTTTACTTGGACCCATTTGTAATTAGTCTTTGTTTATCCCCTTTTGCTTTTGATCCCTCATGGTCCTTTTTGTAGTTTTCCCAGTGTTTTCTGTTTTCATTAATAAACCCTTTCTGTCCCGTGAGCCGCAAGTGGGTCAACCACCTCTGTTCCTTGCCTGCATGACACAACGCCCGCGTACCAAGTTTGCCCGGATCCCTGACATTATTCCTTTTCAAGGTTATCTAGTATATGTGTAAAACATCAGTATACCATGCTGCCCTAGTTTATTATACAAAAAACTTTTATTTCTTGTTATGCCATCCTCATCTTGTTGTATCTGTTCTTCTGAACACAGATTGCAATTAAAGCTTGGACCTCTTCATTTCTCCATGCATCCATTATTATTACTTTTATTTTTTTTTACTTTGTTTGTTTTCTGCAGTGTGTTGGCGATTGCCCAGGGTTGGTTCCTGTCTGCATCCATTGTTCCCGGGATAGGCTCCGGTCCCCCCCGCAACCCCAGTTGGGATTCAGCGGTTTCAGAAAATGGATGGATGGATTGTTTTCTGTGTTTCAAGATGACAGTTGTATCGTTTCAGATGCAGGCTATTTTCATAACCAATCCAAAAAAAAAACATTTGCAAGTTCCACCCCAAAGTACTGAAGTTGGTTTGGCAATTTAGGTACTGGAACTTTTGGTACTGGTACACTACTGGAAGTCATGGAAAGTACCGAAAGTACTGTACTATATGTATGGTACCTGGTGCAGTGGAAAAGTGCCCTAAGTAAACCTGACCTGCTGCGTGCTCTCAGTCCTCATTGGTACCAACTAAAACCAACCTGCTATGTGCTCTCAGTCCTGACTGGTGCTAACTAAACCCAACCTGCTGTGTGCCCTCAATCTTCACCGGTACTAAATAAACCAACCTGCTGTGTGCTCTCAATCATAGCCAGGGCCTCTGCCATCAACTTCTGATTTACACCACACAAGTTGGCTACTTTCATCTGGCACTTGTGATGAACATTCATACAGCATTCTGTATGGACAGAAAATGCATCAATGACAGAGGACACCTACATTTGACTTGATCCTGTTAGACATAACTGGGTATTAAAATTCCAGCCAAAGCTCTTTGAAATATGCTGTGAAATATGAAATATGCTGTGAAATGAGAGTCTGTGAAAAATATCTGGTTTTGAGGTTAGTAATATATACAGTATGAGTGCTGAATAATTTTGCATTACAGTTCTGTATTAATTTACAAATAACAGCTTGATGTTAGCTGACATCATGTAACCAGTTCTTACCTTCAAACTTCAGGCCCTGCTTGATTAGCCACCACAACAGCTTGATGTGAGCTGACAGCATGTGACCAGCTCTTACTTTCACACTTGAGGCCCTGCCTGATCAGCCCCCACAACAGCTTGATGTGAGCTGACAGCATGTGACCAGCTCTTACCTTCACACTTGAGGCCCTGCCTGGTCAGCCCCCACAGCAGGGTGCCGCAGTGCTCACAGAATGTGGGGCTCTTGTAGTTGTAGACCTTAAACCGGTGTGGCATGTCGATCTTAAATCTCTCCTTGTGTATCTGTAGGATAGTTGCATAAGTCATCTTGACTGCTACACATGTTCAAAATACCATTTTTATATTGATAATTACCCACAAGGGACAGCCAATGCCAATTTTGCATTAAAACTGATAAAACTGACTTCATCATATGAAATATCCAACAGTTCTGCAATGAAGTACATAGTACTTCAGTGGTATACAAGTGATGTGGTTTCAGAGGTAGAACCACCAGAAAATGGTTTCATCTTTCTGCCTTCTAGATACAATAGCCAATAAGATTTGTGGGTTGGAGAGCTACAACATTGAGGACTGGCTATCCCATCCCAACAGAACCGGGAATATCCATACTACTATTAAGACATAAGCAACATTGACTATAAATATATCAGACATGATATCAACAAAACCATTTCTGTGAGCCACCAAGGAGTCTTGGTGGAAAAGGGTAGCCTACAAACTACCACACTTCTCCAAACAAATGGATGTTTTACATCATCAAGTGAGGTAAGAGACCTTCTACAAACAGAAAATACCACAAACAAGGATGCAATCAAATAAAATACACATTGAGTGAATGAAGAACATTCCTAAAACTTCTTTAGCCTTAGATGGATTAGTTTCAACCGTAGGAACAAATAACAATGTGTGGCCTTCAATTAAAAGGTACAATCAAACAAAGGTGCCACGAACACTGTAGAAACTGTAACTCTCATATGTTCTTGCTCTCTGAGACAGGTCAGTGACTCAGCATTTCTTCTTACCTGGGTCTCTTTACTGTTGATGGCTGACCCAGTACATTTGGCAATCACTTTGTCAACGCATTTCTTGTGGATGGCTGCGTTGCATTCTGGGAAATTCAAGGACAGGCGTCAGATAAATGCTGAATGTAGAAATGAGAAATGGCTTAGGTTTAAGTTTGGAGGTACTTACGTCTGCATTGGTAGCCTTGTTTATTTAGTCCCCTGAAAGAGAAAGAACATTCTGGTCAGGGAATGTAAGCAGGAGTCTACAAGGAGCACTACTTGTACTAGTATTACACACACTAAAAATACACAACAAAAAAAAAGAAAACATCAATACTGCCAGAATCCATCCACTAATTACAAACACACGCTACTGTTAGCCACAATTATATAAGTCCACAGCAGCCACAGTTACGGTTAAGGTTAGCTATTTGGTAGGTATTTAACAGGAGTATTATACTAACACAGCTATGACAACCAGACTGTGATATAACCGTAGAAAAAAATGCTTCAAAACCAAACTGCCCATCTGAGATACACCAGAGACTGTGGAATAGCAAACACAGGTCACATAGAGATATAGTAATCACATTACAGTAGCGGTGAAGCAGTAGTAAGGCTGGGAAGATCCAAATGCTGATGCATCCAAACAGCCAGCTGACAGACCTACCAGACAAACTCTTTGCAGACGGAGCAAAAGGTGGGCTGGGGAAAAAAGGTGGCTGTGAACTCATGGCACTTCACCACATGAATCTTGGCTTGCTTTATGGCCCCACGGCGCTGATGCAGGGTGAAGAGGCCCTCACCAGCATCACCTTTTCCCTTGCCTTTTGCATCTGTTCAGCACACATTAAGCTTCATCAAACTCCTTGACATCATAATGCAGTACAGTTAGTATCTGAAAGTTAGGCACTAAAAGACTGAGGTGTACTGTGCATACCCATATGAAGAAAACCACATTGTTCATATCAGGCTATCAAGCATTTTTCTTTTTCCAATTACACACGTGGACAAAATTGTTGGTACCCTTCGGTCAAAGAAAGAAAAATTCACAATGGTCACAGAAATAACTTTAATCTGACAAAAGTAATAATAAATAAAAATTCTATGAAATTTAACCAATGAAAGTCAGATATTGCTTTTCAACCATGCTCCAACAGAATTATTTAAAAAAATAAACTCATGAAACAGGCCTGGACAAAAATGATGGTACCCCTAGAAAATACTGAAAATAATGTGACCAAAGGGACATGTTAATTCATGGTGTGTCCACTAATTAGCATCACAGGTGTCTACAATCTTGTAATCAGTCAGTGGGCCTATATATAGGGCTCCAGGTAGTCACTGTGTTATTTGGTGACATGGTGTGTACCACACTCAACATGGACCAGAGGATGCGAAGGAAAGAGTTGTTTCAGGAGATTAGAAAGAAAATTATCGACAAGCATGTTAAAGGTAAAGGCTATAAGGCCATCTCGAAGCAGCTTGATGTTCCTGTGACTACAGTTGCACATACTATTCAGAAATTTATGATCCATGGGACTGTAGCCAACCTCCCTGGACGTGGCCGCAGGAGGAAAATTGATGACAAATCAAAGAGACGGATAATACGAATGGTAACAAAAGAGCCCAGAAAAACTTCTAAAGAGATCCAAGGTGAACTTCAAGCTCAAGGAACATCAGTGTCAGATCGCACCATCCGTCGTTGTTTGAGCCAAAGTGGACTTCATGGGAGACAACCAAGGAGGACACCATTGTTGAAAACAAATCCTAAAAAAGCCAAACTGGAATTTGTCAAACTATGTTGACAAGCCACAAAGCTTCTGGGAGAATGTCCTATGGACAGATGAGACAAAAATGGAACTTTTTGCCAAGGCACATCAGCTCTATGTTCACAGACGGAAAAATTAAGCATATCAAGAAAAGGACACTGTCCCTAGTGTGAAACATGGAGGAGGCTCTGTTATGTCCTGGGGCTGCTTTGCTGCATCTGGCACAGGGTGTCTTGAATCTGTGCAGGGTACAATGAAATCTCAAGACTATCAAGGGATTCTAGAGAGAAATATGCTGGCCAGTGTCAGAAAGCTTGGTCTCAGTCGCAGGTCATGGGTCTTGCATTTGTTTGGTTGAAATTTCATTGGTTAAATTTCATAGAATTTTTATTTATTGTTACTTTTGTCAGATTAAAGTTATTTCTCTGACCATTGTGAGTTTTTCTTTCATTGACCGAAGGATACCAACAATTTTGTCCACGTGTGTATATTTGATGATGCATGATGTTATTTATATGTTCGGTGCAGTGTTTTTCGTATTTATGCTGCTTTTATATTATTCATGTGAAAGACATGTATAATCTCTCCACATTCAGTTGTTTTAAATAGACATGAGAACATTCATGTTATGTTATCAGAACCGAAAGTGAATGCATAAACTGAAAAAGGATGTGTTTCCTTTTCAAATTCTAGTTGTGTGGAAACATTGTCTATGATTCAACTGAGTTCATTCAAAGAATTATGCATAAAAACAAATACTGAACATTTGTTTAATTTTATACAAAACATTCATGTAATATGCATTGAACATCAGCGTAAAACTTATGTTATTTGCATATGTACTTTGCATCAATGAAAATACGTCTAATGACTAATGACTCATTAAGTTATGAATTGTACATTTATTTTGAGTGTCATATAAAGAGTTTATATGAGTTGGGTAAAACGTATCAGAATCATTTGTTCTTTTAAAAAACTTGTCTGTATGGGTATAGTAATAATGTATTATACCAAACAAACCTAATGCTTTGTTTAATATCTCTTTCACGTTATGATCATAGGTGAAAAGTTTTAAAATTGCTAAGGCTACCCAATTTAATGGATGGTGTAATTAAAAATAATATTTACCGTATAGCTGTCCAAGAGCAATCTGCAGTAGCTTCATTTATTTATGATACATTACTGTTGAGCTTGAGCCTGGCAACATCATTAAGTCATTAAAATTGCAGAGAAGATTGTTAGGACCACTCTGCCTTCTTTTCTGGATTTTACAATGAAGGCTGCATCCAGAAGGCCACTGGTTTCACCACACTTCTCTCACAACGTGTTTGTGCCACTGCTGTCCGGTAGGTTCTGTGGCCTCAAAGCCAAAGCGAGGCTTAAAAACAGATTTTTTTCCCCAAGATGGTCTGGCCCCTCCCAGTCTAAAGACTGGGTCTGTTAAAAGGATTAATAATTCGTGTCTCATAACTTTGAAATAAATCTATTTATTTGTTACACATTCTACTCCCAATTCCATGCCAAATTACCACAATCTTTCCCCACCATTCAGGGGGTTAACTACATTTTGTTTGTCTATGTCTTAATGACAATGTGTTTAAATGTTACATTTATATGTCTATACAGTATGTCCCAATATTTATATTTTATTTGTTACTGTTTCATTTGCACAAGAATAGTATTTCACTTCAATATGAAGGACAGGTGTCAGATAAATAAATCTGAAGTTGATTATGAAAGATACTTTGACTTTTTTACTAGAGCTGACAAATAATTATCTACCGTAGTGCAAAGGTAATAATGACATGCTTTGACCATTAATGAAATATGTGCAGTATTTGGAGATAAATGTTGCTTTTTTGGATAGGCCCAAATTCAATTTAAATTCAACTTAAGCTGAGTGTGCTATATGCTGCCTGAGAGAATCTCCAGCCTCTGATAAGTAAAGAGATGGATAGATTAAAAAAATATTAAAATGAAAAGCATTTATTTTCTGTGTTTCCGTGTTTAAAGATAAAAAATGGGTTTATAATATGACAATTATTCCATAATAATAATGAATAAAGAATAATAATAACTAGAAAGTGAGGTCTGTGAGCAAACTTGAAGAAGCCAGTTAGGTAAATTGAAGTATGAGGATGGCAGCAGTTTAAATGTAACTCAATGGGTGAAATCTGATTGGCCGTGGGAGGCTCCACCCACTTTTCTAAACCTTTAGGCACAGACACCCAATGACCAATTGTGGAAAATTTGTGTGACACTGGCAGCAGTTTAAATTTTCGCATTAATGTCAATGAGTGAATTCTGATTGGCTGTTGGAGGCGCCACTCACTTTTCCGAACCTTGTACCCCAGTCACCAATTGACCAGGTTTGCAAAGTTTGGGAACCCTGCCATCAAAAGTGTAACAATGGGAGCAGTTTAAATTTTCCCATTAAGATCAGTGAGTGAATTTTTATTGTCTGTTGGAGACTTTTTACACTTTCTACACTTTTTAGAACCTTGTACCAAAGTCACCCGTTCACCAACTGTCCAAAGTTTTGGGATTCAGCCATCAGAAGTGTGACAATGGCAGCAGCAAGTGCTTCTAGGATTGCAGATGGCATAATTGACCCGAAAATGTTGACATAGTTGATAGATTTTTGATATATCTGTTTTCTGATTGGATGAAATTTGATTGGATGCAGGAGAGGATCCTGGATCGTGGACATCCACCAAATTTTGCCAGTTGCTTCAGTGTCACCTCATGACTGTGAGACTCAAGTTTGGTGGATTTAGCTTAAAAGATGTGAGAGGGGCAGCAATTTAAATATCCTCCCTGTATAAGTCAATGGGAAAAAAGGGGGTGTTTGATGGGACCTCCCAAAATGATGGAGGGTGCGAGAGTTTATAAAAGCCCAGATTCCCCCCCCCCCAAATTCATGGCTATAGGGTGAAGAAATGTGGAAAGTTTGATGGCTGTACTCCAAAAACAATTTAGAAAATTGGGGTGGAGAAAAAACAAAGAACAATGTGTTAGCCTTTTCAAGCCAACATAAAATACTACTAATAATAATAATAAGTGGAAAAAGAAGAACAGTTAATAAGAACAGAAGAAGTCAACAGTTTATGACACTATGACATGTTCTTATGCTATTAAGAGTATCTTATCATCTAGACTCACCACTGTTCTCCAATAGGTAGGTGGCCTCCATTTGCAATCTCCCTATTGGTTTTGTCTCCACCTGGTTTTGAGACAGGAAATGTTAATGGCCTGTTCGTAGCCTGTCCCAGTACACAAACCCATCCAGCTCCTATCATCCCTAAACTCACCCAAAAAACCAGTCTGACCTTTACACACTCACTGAGACTTTCATGCACATTCCTCTATATTTCCAGAAAGGACCATTCAACAAACAGACAGGACCAATCCTTCACATACTCATATAGGGCTCAGTCATGGCTTCCATCCACACTCACCCAGATCTCCAGCCTGCTATTTTCCTTCTTGCAGTGTGCGGCCAGCTGGTCCAGATCCACAGTTGCCTCACTCTTAAGCTCAGCTGTCTTGTCCTTTATTACCACATGCATCATGTGGTCTTTTTGGAGGTGGGCGTCAAATGTGGAGCACCAGGGTGGGTACATAGTGGGCTTCACCTGCTTATAAACCTGTCCCTTCTCTGCCGAGCAAAGGGGCAACATGCAGACAACTGGGATATTAGACAATAGTAATCTCAGATAACATTCATATTTTCCTTTCTGCCTTTTGATGTCTAAATTTGAGCTGAAAATGTTACAGATCCATTTAATTGCATTTTTAAATCCATCTCTGTAGGAAGCTTTCTTTAAAAAAATCTGTCAGAATCAGTTAGATCTGCTGCTGAAGACTGCTGCAGAAGCATTATGTATATGAAGTCCTCTGCTTCACCTTATACCGTACCTCTCACTGGAAGAACTGCAAGGATTATGTTCATTATGTAGCATAACCTGAACCACACACTAGTAGACATGTTTCCAAAATTTTTTTTCATGGATTTTAGTAACATGCTGTTGCTCCTGCTACAGGAGCATTGCACACTGGCTGACCTTGTATAGTGCCACCCCTCCACCCACAACCTTGCCCTCACCTGTGTACGTGTCTCTGTGTCTCAGGGAAAGCAAGCAAGATGGAGTAAGCAAAAAGAGAATTTTCCCACATGGATAAATTCTATTCTATTTTATTCATGATTCTATAGACTGCTTTTTCAGTGTCAGGCAAATCAAGTGTCAGGACTGATCTGTGCTTTATATGGAAATGTTAAATTTGATGGAGGATTGGCGCAATGGCCTGGACATGCCTAAGCATCTTTAAGAGTAAGGGGCAGGCACTCTGCACACCTGTCTCCACAACCTCCTTCATGTACACAGCACAGTATGGACTTAGGACCTCCTCATGGTATGCCAGGCCTGGGTCCATCTTGAAGCAGGAGAAACCAATCTTCAGAACAGCTGTCATAGTGTCTTGTTCACTGGCTGGAGGGGTGAGTACAGCAGGCATCATATGCACAATATTAAAAATAAACCTGAAAAGAACTCTCAAGTGTTAGCTGTTTCAGCAGATGTACTTGTGAATATTGATGAAAATGAATTTATAGGAAATTTGTAACATTTCAAAATGTAGACAAAAAGGGGTACAAAATATACTTGATAAATTATTTAAAAACAAGATAATACTACATTAATAAAAATACAGCAGATCTTTAGACACTAGGCGGTTATCAGGTTCCTAAAAAACAAGCTACTTGATTTCATTGCCAATGCCTTTTTCCAGAAAAATGAGGATGCATATTTCTTAGTCTGCATGATCATTGGAAAAGTATGTTATTTATATTTGTTTGCATAACTATGTGTGCCAGTTACATGTGCTCCGATATCAGCAGTATTATGCTCTTCGGCATATTCATGCTCCTCCCTGCTGTTACTCAAAGAAATGGCCCCTGTTCAGACAAGCTCACTACATTAGCAGCCATGGGTACAGAACCTATGTATAGCTACATTGCAATGCTTTGCTGGCAACTTTCTGTCTGATACAAAGTTCTGAGAATGTTTCAAAACCTTTAACTGGAAGCAGGCTGTTCAAGTGAAAATACATATGAACCTAAGGAGGAATAAAAAATTCTAACCAATGCACCCCTCCAAGTTTCCGGGCCCCTGAAATTCGTACCCTTTCTCCCCCCCTTATGAATAGTGTGGGAGAGAGTTGCGTATCCAACTAATTTGAGGACCTACAAGAAGCAGAACTTAGTACTGAGGTGGCACTGCTGCTTAGTGCATTGAACTTGTGTGGGTGATCAACTGGACGTAGTCATGTTGCCCCCGGGGGGTTATTCTAACCGGCCTCTGGGGTGGCATATTCGGGCTATTTGTGGGCGGGGGGGAGAGAGAAACATAGCGCCCTCCTTCTCCTTGTTGCTTTGACACAATCTGCCGCAGTCGGCAGGATGCGCAGTAAAACATGGTAAGATGTGGATTTATTTTATGTATATATATTGTTAGTGTTCCTGTAGTGTTTCATTTTTGTAATTAGTTGCTTTAGATTGATGTGGGGCAAAACAGCAACAGCCTTCGTTTTGGGATCCGGGTTAAGTCCTAGGAAATAGTTGTATTTGGAACTCTGTATTTGACTTCTGGTTGGGTGTGGGTCATTGTAGTGAACATGGATGAGGAAATGCAGCAACTTTGAAAGAGGGTTGCCCAGCTTCAAGCTGATAATGACTGCTTGCTGAGGCAGCAGGCAGGGGCTTTAGGCCAAGCCACAGCGTCCCAGTCCATACCGGTGTCATCTTTTGCTAATGTATCAACTGAGAGACTCGTTTTTATCCCTAGGAATAGGAAGTGTCCTATTATTACTGGGTTGGGTTGAGTCTGGATGAGTGGGAGGATGAAGTGCAAGCCTGTATGAGGGTCTGTTACCTTTCCCCAGCTGATCAGGCATTTTTTCTGTTTGATCATTTAGAAGGAGAAGCAAGGGAGGAAATTAAACATCGGCTCATTGAGGAAAGAAAGGATCCAGAGAAAATTTGTCTGAAATTAGTTTTATGGGCCACCTGTTGGCTTCTCAAGTGGGCCATGCCTGAAAAATTCAGTGAGTACTTGTTAGGTCAGAAGTGTGTTTGTGAGGGTTATTATCCCTAAACACGTCATTTATCCACTGCTAAGTTGGGGGCCACAGAACAATGGTGGGCAGCCCAGCTGGCAGCCTTTGATTATGAGATTAAGTATAGGTCTGGCAAGAGCAACCAGAACGCAGATGCTTTGTCACGGCAATACTTGGCTTCCGGCTCAGGTCCAGTGGGGGTGCCTGGAATCCCTTTTCCCTTGCTTTTGCAACAGGCTGACATGGACCAAGGTCCTATACAGGTAGCACAGGCATCTATTAATGTTTTCCCTAATCATTCTCCTCTGGAATTGCAGTCTGCAGAAAGCTGATGCTGATATTCGGGAGATTTTTGCCAACTGCAGCAGAACGTTGGCAGTTGTCCTCTAATGCTTTGGTATTGTTACACCAGTGGGACTATTTGGTGGTCAAAGATGGTGTACTACATCATCAGGTCTTCTGCCCTGATGGGGGGGAGGAGGTTTTACAGTTAGTCCTGCCTGCCTTATTGAGGCCAGTGGTGATGGCGCAGCTTCACCAGAACCACGGGCATCAGGGAATTGACAGGACAAGCTGGTTGGTACAGCAGCGATGTTACTAGCCTGGTATGTTTGCACACATTAAACATTGGTGCCAGGAGTGCGGACGTTGTCAAGTTAGTAAGGACACACAGCCTGTGGCTCATAGTTTTATGGGCCACCTTTTGGCTTCTCGACCTAATGAAATTTCGGCTTTGGACTTTATGGTATTAGAGCCTACTCGTAATGGCATTGAAAATGTTTTGGTGATGACAGATGTCTTTAGCAAATATACTCTGGCCATTACTACCAGGGACCAGCGTGCCATAACAGTGGCTCAAGTTCTTGTTGTTGAATGGTTCTATAAGTTTGAGGTCCCAGGTTGTCTCCATTCTGACCAGGGTCGTAACTTTGAGAGTGCTCTGATCAGAGAGCTTTGTTTGCTGTATGATGTGGCCAAGTCCCGAACTACTCCTTACCATCCAGCTGGGAATGGTCAGTGCAAGCGGTTCAATAGGACGTTGCATAATCTCTTGCCTGCACTTCCAGTCTCTCGGAAGAGGGATTGGACTGCGTGCCTTCCCCAGGTGGTGTTCTGATATAATACCGCCCCACATCAGTCCATGGGTGAATCACCGTATTTTCTTATGTTTAGTCAAGATCCTAAGCTACCTGTGGATTTTCTGTTGGGACGGGTAGCAGATCCAGTACCGAGTACGGTAAGTGACTGGATATCGGAGCATCAAACCCGACTCCACCTGGTGTTTGAGGGAGCTAAAGAGCGCCTGGCTGTGGCTGCTGATCAACGGCAGCGGCATCATGCGCATCGGGTGTGGGGTTTGCCTTTGCAGGAAGGTCAGCTGGTGTATGTTCATGATCATGGTGTTAGGGGTCATAATAAGATTCAAGATCTGTGGAACTCAGTGTTGCACAAAGTGTTGCAGGTCCCTAAGCCAGGGGGTGTGGTCTATACCATTGCGCTAGTTGATGCTCTGGACAAAGTGAAACGGGTTTATCGTACCATGTTAAAATCTCATCTCGGCACGGAGCCTGCAGCTAGTCCTTCATCCCCAGCTCAAACTAGGGTGAGTTTGCAAGGGAACGATTCTAGTGATGAGCTCTGTGTCCTGGTGCCCGCTGGACCTGGTAGCAACACGGCAGTCTCTGCTACGGTGCCATTGCCTACCATGGGTTGTTCACCATCACCTCCTTTGTTGTGTGCCCCCACTACCCAGATATTTTTGGGTCAAGGAGGTGAAGAACAGGAGGTGACTACTTTGACAAGTCTATCTAAGGAGGTATGAAGAACAGCACATCCCACTGCCGGCCAACATTCTAACCCATATTGTCTTCCACAGTCTGCAGGGGATACTGCATGAGGGGCAGCAGGATCTCCAAGAAATGGCATGTTGGGTTTAGGGATGAAGGTGTCTATAACCTTTGGTAGTTCATCGTCCGGTCGACGATGAAAATCCTGGTGGTAGGTTGTAGTCCGGTAGAAATGTCAGTGACATCTTTATTTTGGTCCGGTAGTGGGATTGGTCCTCCGGTAATTGCCAGTGCTATTTAGGCAGAGAAAAGCTGTGGTTGAATGATTGGGACTGATGGCAGTGGTTGTGTGTCTTCTCCTTTTCTCTTCTGTTGGCATGGCTTTCGTTTAATATGGTAGGTCTTAATTAGGGGGTTGTGGTTTCTTAATCATTTCTACTGTTGGATTTACTTTTCTTTTGTTTGGTGTAGTTTTATAGCTGCAGCCTTCAGATTTGTGGCATTCCTCACTACTTTCGTGCTTTCTTCTAGCAGAGGTATGCGGCTTGTCTTATTGTAATGTTTGTTTGTGTGCATTACATTGGTTTTGTAGCATGGAGTTATAACTTCACCTTCCATTATCCCAGAGGGGTGTATTGGACCACACCAGGAAGCTTGAAATGCTGCTGCCATCCATTTTCCAAACTTCTGGGTCACAGGGGGTCTAGAGCCTATCCCAGAAACTACGGGCACGAGGCAGGGAACAACCCTGGACGGGGGGCTAGCCCATCGCAGGGCACACTCACACACCATTCATGCACACATATGGGCAATTTAGTAACTCCAAGACAGCCTCAGCATGTCTTTGGACTGTAGGGGGAAACCCGACTACCCAGAGGATACCCCACAACAACATGGGGAGAACATGCAAACTCCACACACATGTAGCCCAGACAGAGACTCAAACTCTGGTCCCAGAAGTGTGAGGCAACAGTGCTAACCACTGCATCACTATGCTATGCACTACCCTAACTGCTGCTGCCATCAAGCACTGAACAAGGACAATATCTTCCATATCACCTTACATAACTATGTACAACTACGTTGATTACAAGTACACCCCTTTTTAATTTATATATTTTTGCTTATTGGTTTATCTTACGTTTGTAACTATGCACTTTATATTGTGTGAACAAATATCCCTTGAGATCAAGTGTTTCTATCTAAAATGAAGTCATAGTCTTACCTACACATTTAGCCTTTATGTATCAATGATGTATTCAATGACACATGAGAAGGCACACTCCATAAATGACATAACTTTCAGCAGAGCTGTGTGTGCAAACAACCCATGTCACATGATCATCCTAAGGAAGGCTCTGTGAGACCAGCTGTCTGCATGTCAGGAGGAGACTCAGGGGGTCACTGTGCTATTATTAAGCATGTAATGCTACATTCTCAAGCAGGAATCTATTCCCCTGATACCCACACATAATTGCAGTTCACAGCAAACCACCAAACTCCAAACAAATACACAATGATAAAAAATACCTTGAAAAAATACCTTGGGCTCTTTCAGCAGGATAGTGTGCCCTGCTACACTGCAAAATTTGTTCAGGAGTTCAAGGTATTGACTGATGTTTGATTATCAATCTGTATGTATATATAAGTTTAATTTCTGCAATGTTCAAAAAGGGTTGCCCTGGGCGGTATTGCAATGCAGATTTCGGTGCCTCATTTTGGTGCCACTTATGCCTCAGCTATCCATTGATTGTCATACCTCACGGGCCATTGCTAGTTAACAATACACTTGCTCTGATGTCAACAGATGCCTATCGCTAGCTAGTAGCTACTTTAAACACAGATAAGATGCCTAAAGCTAAATGGTCTGAAGTGTTGCTGTGTTTCACCTGATAGGATTCCGACACCAAGACTTTAGGTAAATTCAAGTATTTTGCATTTCATTACATTTATATATTCAACTCTTCTATTCAACTCTCCTTTGGTAGAATTTTGTATACAGCCCTTTGGCCTTTCTTTAGTGGTTTTCACTATTTGTTTCCAGTGACATTTGTAAATTTGCATACCATTTACAGCTATGAAAGCATATATGATAAATATGGACAGCTGCTATATCAAATTTCATATGTCATTCGTGCAGGACTGATATCGAACCGGAAGCAAATTGAATCGGATTGAATCATATACCCATCCCTACCTACCGGTATCACTAATGGTGATATTATATAAAAATATATTGGCTATCAGTATCAGTCAAAATACCCACATTGGTGAACAATTAAATTGTCTATAAATGGGTTTAGTACTGTGGCTACTCTCTCTTTCAAAGTGGGCACCCAGCCCAGATTACTCCAAAAGCATAATGCAGAAAGCTCAATGGGCAAAAAAGAATCCTGAAGATTACCTGAGACCACCTCCACACTCCACCTTATAGCATTACTGGGAAATGTTTTGAGAATATATGAAGCAACGGGTGTATTTTTTTTGGGAAAAACATGCAGCACTACAAATGGCTTAAAAAGGGCACCACATACCAACATGAAAACATCTTACCAACAGTGTAGTACAGTGGAGGCAGCAACATGATTTAGGGCTGCTTCGCTGCTTTGGACAGCTTGCCATCAAGGTATCCTACAGGATAATGTCAGGGTGGCTGTCTGCCAGCTGAAGCTCGGTAAAAGTTTGGTGAGAAGAGGTGTGGCTCATCAGAAGCCGGTAGGGTAGAAAAACCTACTGGACAGTAGCTCTCCAGGACTGGAGATGGAGACCCCTGCCATAGCACTTATTGCTGCCAAAAGATGTTCAACCACTTATTAAAATCCAAGAGTTCAAATACTTCCTCCAATCTACACTGTTTGAATGGTGTGTTCAGTGTGTACAAGTATAATATAATACAAGTATAATATAGTGATTTCTGTGTTATTAGTTAAAACATATTGTTTGCTCATTATTGTAATTTACATAGATATCAGATCATATTTTATGGCCAATGAATGAAAAAAATGTTTTTTAACTTAACTTATCAGAAAAGGAGTGGCAGAATGACTAGTATTATTGCCTCACTTCTCCAAGGTTGGGGCTTTGAAAGTACACATCTACACTATGTGAGTGGAGTTCTCCCCATGTCATGCAGATTTGCTCCTGCAGTCCAAAGACATGTAGTTCGGCTACCTGTGGTATCTGAAAAGCACACTTAAAAAAATAAAACATTCTTAATTGTTTTTATGTGAAGGTTTACTTTTCAGCAAGCTCAAGTTAATTTTCCCATAAGATATTGTGGTGAGTTCAAGGATCATAGTTATTGAAATGAGATTTGCACTCTTTCAATGTAAAGTCCTACCTTTATTCGACAGACCAGAGCCAAAGCACTCTCAAAGCAAACAGCAGTACAGACAAAGCAAGTCAACTATTTACACGGCACTGGGTGGTACACTACAATAACACCTGCATTTTCAGGGGAACAGTACACAGTACAGCACTTATTATTTACATGTGAAATATACACAGAGGCACATATTAAGCAATGCAATAGCAAAATGGAAGGTGTGCTAATTATCCTGAATATAACTGTCTGGCCCTACAGCTTCACAATATAATCATAATAGTGTTTAAAATGTATGCCTCCTTTCTTTGGGAACAAAATTGCTGGGCAGCTGTGATTATTTTAAGATACATATTTTTCATTTAAAGCATGTTATGCTTGTGGCCTGTGTTGCCTGGAATAAACTCCAGCCTGCAACCTTTCCTAGGATAAGAGGCTGAAAGATCCATGTGCCCCTAGGAATACCCAGCTTTAAAAACTCCAGTCAAACATACCTACTGATGATACAACACCTATTCAGAAGGAGGAGGTTCAAAGACCTGTGAGGCCTTTCATCCCCTGAGATAGCGTCCATCAAGGGATTGTGTAAAGGTCAAGCATTGAGACCATCATCTCCAATGACCTTTAAAAGTGTTTATAGGTCTGAAAGCACCCTCCCACCCCCCTTAATGGATCATCATAATGAATATTCTGCATGGCCTGGTGAAGAAATATTCTTTGTTTCTATATCACAGTAAAACATTTGTCTGAAAGTGTCCCTAAAACACCAACATAAAACACCACTGCTAAGATTTTTAATCCTTACCTCTTCCAACACAGGAACACAGGGCCTAGGCCAATAGATTACTCCTCTCTGCATTAAAATGTAATACCCATTTTCTGACTCAGATTGACAAATTGATCAGTTCACAGTATCATTTAGGTGAATGACTTGGCCAGTCTTAGCTTTTGAGACTGAGCGTAATTTGTGTCATAAGATTATCCCCATATGGAATATCCAATAAGCAAAAGAAAGCCCTAGTCAAGTAAAAGTTTAACTGAACTAAAACTCAATCAATATAGATTTTTAGAAACATAAAAATGAACAACAGTTATCTGCAGCCACTCTTAATAAGCTCAAATACATTAAATGAGGCTCTAATTTCTAGAGGGATACTTGCTACCCTCATGATGAAAGACCGAAAAGGGAAGAAACTTAACTTCACCTTGATTAACGTAATGATTTCTAGTAATCGTATTTATCCTCCAAGGTCACCAGTGTACAGCTCTTTGAAATCCTTGTCTCCGTTTTAAACAAATTTGCTTCTCAGGAATTATTTAATGCACATCATTTTGATAAAAAGAAGTAGTATATAAAGTAACCATGAATGATCTCGTAAAGTACGGTAATGGTCCCAGCGAATACCCCTCCCCCATGAGGCATGGTTGATTTAAAACATTATTATATGCTAGGGAATATCTTAACTGAATTTACAGAATGTGAGCATTTATGAGCTGGAAAATAACTATAATGCATCTAGTTTATTTCATATTAAACAATAAATGTACTAGCTTGATAAGCTGCGGCTTAAATAATAAACCCTTTTAGACTCACGTAGATAATTATAAACATCTGCTTCGGTCAGTCATCCGACTAAAAGACAAGTAATGGCGAAAAGAAAAACTAGACATGCACAATGTTAATACATTCCTCCTCCGGGATACAAAAATATATGATCATAATATAAGATCATAAACGACAGATATATCTAAATTACTTACCTTAAAGTGTGCTAAAATGTTAAATGTTATGTAATGTTAAAATCCGCAGTGTTCAGCTATCGTAAGGGCTTTATGTGAACTCCATACACTTCGGTCAGCTGTGCAGATTAACTCACTGCTCTGTAACACGGTGGGCACCAGGGGCATGTAGTCACGCCCCTGGCTGCGCCTTACTGGAAATGACATTTAGGGTTACCTCCACTATAAAAGTGACTGTAATAAGACATCCGATGATTATGTAACGTTGCGATATCAGAGGAATACAATACAAAGCATTACGATAACTATGAGCCTTAAATGGTGGAGTAATTAAGTAATTTGTTCATCCACTATTAATTAATCCATCTCGTGTGTATATGTGTGTGCACTTATGTGTCTGTGTGTGTGGGTGTGTTTAACGTATTAGCCAAAATCACATACAGTAAATTGTTACATTTTCCCTTCTGCTGAAATGTGAATAGTATACTACACCAGGAGGTTCAACTCCTCAGTCATTCATTATCAAACAGATGGTGTGGTAGAAAAATTATAAATCAACCTCTCTGATAACACAGAGAGGCACTTAGAATAAAAGTCTGGACCTCTCAGTTTGACGAGTAAAAAAAATGTCTTGTATTCCCTCAATTTCAGCAAAGCGCTCCCATCACACTCTGGCACTCGGTACCAGGTCACACCCAGCACACAGAGCAACCAGTTGATAAACCATAACTCCCAATTCCCATAAGGACTTCTAAGTCCTGATTGGTCACAAAACACCAACAAACCAAGCTCAAACATATAATAAACACAATTCTCCTGCTCTATTGGTTCACCTTGGTAGCAAGGTAAAATCCACCTATTTTACCGGAATCTGTCTCGGCTTCTAGACTCTACTTGAGATATGTATATAGATATTGATTATATGACATTGAATCACTGCAAATACATGGTTAATGTCACGCCCCGCTCTGTCCGCTCCTGATGTGTGCCACGCCCACCTCGTCACCTTGTGTTCATCCCTGATTGTTCTCACCTGTGGCTCGTTACCCGTAGCTTGTCTTTTGTATTTAGTCCTCGTCTGAGTCAGTCTTCCCCAGACTCGTCATTAATGTTTGCTGTCGTGATTCCCCGGTCCTGTTATCTGGAATAAATCCCCGTTTTGCCCTACTTCCTGACTCCGTTTCCCTGCTTCCCGGATCGCCTTCTGACCGACCGTGACAACTACTTTGCACTACCGCGTATATTATATATTGTCGACTGCAACTATTTTATAAAGGTATAACTCTTTGCGCACCAGTTGGGGCAGCTTCGAATCTCTTCCTGCAAGTGGTTTCTCCCCGCCTTTGCTCCGCTGTCTGCCTTTCTAAGGTCCGAGCTTTCTTCAGGGTCGGCAGAACTAACTGCAGGCAGCTATCACGAAGCGAGGTCACACAATATTCAAAACAATCTCTTCTTGCCTAAGGCCTAAGACATAACAGACCCAATATGCCTCCCCTCCCAGGCCTACCAATGTCCAATTTTACTTCTACACTGGATGTGTTGTATAAAACAATATGAGCTGGAGTTTTATCGCATCAAGATTTAACACCCATGTCCTAAGTACAGTGTAGAGTTAAATTCAAAGGACTCAGAACTCAAGCTGCACATAAATACAAATACAATAAATAAATGCATAACATCCACAATACACGGCAATATAATAAATACAATATAACTAAAAATAACATACAAATCTATGTTTGATTTTGTGCATGTACTGTATGCAGTGTAGTGCAAATGTGCTGAGTAGTGTGAACAGGGAATGTTTAAATGTAATGTTAAAAAAATGACAGACAACAAAATTCAGTTCAGTGGTATTTATAGAGCCACAAATCACATGGACAACACATATAACACCATCTGCCCTTAAACCATGAAGTAGCATTTTTTGTTCTACCTTGGGCAAGTCATCTATGTAGTTAAATTGTTTCTTTTTTCACAGTTTCAATTGTTTATGGCTCCTTGTTGTGCTGTACTCTACAGACAATACAGTCCAGTCATGGATCAAAGACTGTCACTGTAGATGTTCAAAGTACATTCATCCAATAAAAATACTGTTATGCCCAGCTCGCCTGCGGAGGTGCCCCCTGCTGGCCGCACGCCCGAGGTGCCCGCTGAGGCGCCCCCTGCTGGCCACATGTCGGCAGCGCCCGCTGCGGCCTTTCCTGTCCAGCCCGTCTCGCCCGTCTCGCCTGTCCAGCCCGGCTTGCCTGTCCCGGTCCCGTTCCCTCCAGCCCTGGTCCTAGTCCCTGAGGAGGTCCAAGACTGTTTGACTGCCGCTCTTTCTTCCTTGGAGGAAGCCTGCCGTGGCTTCCTCCTCCTGCCGGCCTGTGCCGGTGGTCCCTCTGGCTCCCTCCATGTCCCCTCCGTCACTCCCTCGGCCCGTCTCCTTGGCCCCTGCGTGGTCCCCTGCTGCTCCTGCCTCCCTCTCGCCTGTGGCCCCTCCGGCCGCCACCTGTCGCCCATCTCGGGCTCCCCTTCGTCCCCTGACCATTCCTGTCTGGTCTCATTTGTCTGCTCCTCGTCCCTTCGTCCCTCCTGTTTCTGCTCCTCCTCCTCCTATGGGTCCTTCGTTCACTCCTGGTACTTTTATTCCGCCTTTCTCGCCTTCTCCTATGTCTCCTTTCCTGATCTGTTTGTCTGCGTTTCCCATTCTGTGTCGGGTCTTGTCCTGGCTTCTGCCCTTGTGTTTGTTCTGCGTGTCTGTTCTGTTTCTGATGCCCCGATGATGTTTTGGTTTTGTCTTTCAGGTCCTGTTCCCTCATCTCATCCGTCGCCTCCCCTGGGGCGCGCCCGGTGTGCGTGCCTTTGGTGGGGGGGTTCTGTTACGCCCAGCTCGTCCGATCCTCGTGTGTGCCACGCCCACCTCGTTACCTCGTGTGAATTCCCGATTGTCATCACCTGTTTCCTGTTTCTCTTGGCTTGTCCTATGTATTTAGTCCGCATCTTAGTTAGTCTTCCCAGATCTGTCATTGACGTTTTGTGATGTTTAGTGCTCGTTCTGCCTGGTGTGCCTCCTGTCCGGTAAATAAACCCTGTTTGTCCGTATTCCCGGCTCTATTCGCCTGCTTCCCCGCTCGCCTGCCTGCACGCACGTAACAAATACATTAATCATTATTATATTGTATATACATTTCACATACACTGTCTGTTAGCGGAGTAAAACACTAGCATTCACCCTCGTACTTCATATTGAACATCTTCTTGTCAGGGTCAGCCCCGGTTGTTCCACCCTGTGTCCCTTCCCCATTTGGCCAGCAGACATTGCTGGTCATCCCGTCCCTCGTGTTGTCAGTCTTTGTGTTTTCTCTGAGCAATAAGCATGCGGCTGCCTGTGATCCCCTGTCTTATGTTCGAATTCTGCCTCCTCTGTTTGTGTGTTTCCCTGAATGCTCGTTGTCCTGCACCCTCCCCAATTGGTTAATTTTCTGTTTCACTCCTGCTATTCATTACCCTGTTCAGTTTTTGTATTTAAGTTCCTGCCTGAGTTTTAGTCCCTAGTGGTTCATTGTTTGTGATTGTGATTCTCGATGTTAGATGTTTGTTATATATTGCATATTGCCTACTGCCTACCTGCCTGTTTACCTGACCCTTTTGTAAAGTTAGTCTTTGTTTATCCCCTTTTGGTTTTTGACCCCTCATGGTCCTTTGATTTTGTTAGTGTTTTCTTGTGTTTTTAGTTCAGTTAACAAACCCTGTTTGTCCCTTTGAGCCGCAAATGGGTTGTCCACATTTCTGCCTGTATCATACCTCGTACTCGTGCCCGAACCGCCCTGATCCGTGACACTTCTGGCCCGCGGCCCTGCACTGTAAAACATTTTAAGTCTGTTAAACTTAGAAACAAAAGTTCACCTGCTGCCTTAAAAACATGAGTAAACTCAACTTGAAAATAAGCATTGTTTCAACTCAAAAAGTTTTGTAAGTTCATCTAAATACAACATGTTCATTGTCTCTACATTCTATTTTAAGTTGTCAAATTTTAACTAATGATCGTTTGTTGTTTATACTTGATAATCTTACTTATAAATAATATGCCAATATTAGTTAATGTCTCAGTGCTGTTACATCCGTGAGTGTGTGTGTATGTCATTCTTTTAAGATCCCGTTCCACAACATCACCGATCCAGTTCCATATTTTCCATTTCTCCCTATGCATGCGGTCCTCGATTCTGGATGAACGTCTTTTGTTTTCACTTTCTTTTGTGTCAGAGAAGACCAGGATGTAACAGAATTAGGGGCTCGTCCGGGTTATTCCTTGCTTGGGAAGTCCAGAATTAATAGACCAAAGGAAAAATAGTATTGGCTACTTTGCATGAACAGACTTAGGGGCTTGTGTAGTGTGGTGTTGAAATGGCAGATTTTGACCTGACCAGATTCACCCTGTGTCCCATCTTAGAGGGCTTTGATGCTTGTCATAAGCCATTACAGATTGCCTCTTTCTTCGATGTGCCGGTGCCTCAAACTTGAAACAACCCGGAGAAAGCTGGAACTGTTCTCCATGTGTTCCTCAGGGTTCCCCGGTAAATGAAGTCCCTGGGTTTGATGTCAGTCTGCAGGTCAATCTGGTACCACTGTTTAGGGAAAATTAAGTGGATGCTTACTTCCCTACCTTTGACCACATTGCTTCGACCTTAAACTGGCCTAAATGTCTGGGAAGTACTGGGATGAGGGAGTCCCTTTATTACTTTTTGCCATTCGTAATGCTGTTCAGGAATCTACTGGTTTTAGTCCAGCTGAGCTTGTTTTTGGTCACTCGGTTCGTGAACTGCCAAAGTTGCTACAGGAACAGTGGCTGTCTCTTCTACCATCTGCTCAGCCTAAACCTGTCTCAGCTTATATAGAATCGCTTCGTTCTAGGTTGCATGTGGCGTGGGATTGTCCTCAAGCTTCTTTGACTGCTTGAAGATTTTATATGATTTAAAAGCAATCAAGTGCTCTTTTCAGGTTGGAGATTGCATGTTGGTTTTGTTGCCCTGGTCTCGTTCCTCTCTCCAGGCTCGATTTTCTGGACCTTATGTGATTTCCAAGAAACTCAGTGAAACGGATTATGTTTTGGACACTCCCAATCATAAGCGTAAGTCCCGAGTATGTCATGTAAATCTGCTAAAACCTTATCGCACACGTTTGGATCCTGAAATAGGTGCCACATCTGCGCTACCTGTTTTCAGGGACCCTGTTTATCCCAGTGTACCATTTGGAGTATTCCCCTGAACAAGATGATCTTCATCTTTGTCAACTTTGTTTTCCTTGTGCTCGCCTGCGAAATTCTGAAGCCCTCAAATATTTTTCCCACCGTTTAGCCTATCTCTCTGATTTAGCTCAACAAGACATTCGGTCCCTCACGAGTAAATTCCTGGATTTATTCTCAGACATGATATTGATGTTGGTGACCTCGTGCCTATCAAACAACATCCCTATTGTATGAATCCCCACAAGCGTGCTGTATTTCAGAAATAAATTAACCATCCCCAGTGTTAGTCCGTGGTGTTCTCCCTGTGTTTTTGATGTCACATTCCGATTCTGTACCGATTATACACTGTAAAAAATGAAACATTGGATCAACTTAAAATATTACTTAATTTTTTCACACTTAATTTTTTCAAGTTTGGTTAATATAAATTTTTCAAGTCAGTTCAACTTAAAATTGTCAATCTAATACATTAGATTTTTGCACTTAAAACCAATCATGCTCAACTAATGAATATAATTTGAATCAACTAAAAAACCCAAGCCAGTTTACTGCAACAGTCCACTTTATTACAATGTATTGATGCATAGCTATGAACAAGAATACAGTGGCCAGTAACAGTGGACAATTTTAAACGTTTCACAGAAAACGTCACATCAAATTTTTTTACTAATACAGCACAAATAAACGTGCAACTAAACCGGGTCCTGGAACATTTTGTAAACATTTTTTAAAGTGCTTGCTGTAACAGTTATTCTTAAGTAATTAAACGAACAACTGAGATGTGAAAGGAAAAACAAATATTAAATGGCTGTCAACAAAGTTATTGGGATTTATTTAATCATTTGTAGCTTGATGTTCAGAGCATGTACTTTGCTTGACATTCTCTTTGCATCAAGCTCCATCAGGATTTTGTGGATTGTGGTGAAGAAGTAGCCATTCTAGGCCGGCTGAACGGGAGAGGAAAAAAGTTGGATATTAGCGGTGAGCGAGTGAAGTTGCAGCCACTAACAGCTACTTGTGCGGAAGATCTGTTGTTTTTGTGGGTAATTACGACACCTTTCTGCCCTCCATGAAAAACAATCACCTAATTACAATATAATCTCGTCCACACAAGCACTACTTTAAAACATTTGTGCCCACATAAAACGCAAAAAAATGGCTGTCCACAGCATGTTAAACCAGCTTCTAATAATGTTTACCCTGGAGTTTTTAAAAAATTCTGTTTTCAATGAACTGAAACTCACTTTACGTGTGGATGAAAGACCAACAGGTTGGTCTTTAGCAATGTTTTTACTTTTTACTTTTCCCCATTTCTCTACATGCGACACAGAACTGTTTTCTGAACAGCTAACTCAAAAATCCTCCTCGTACCCTTGCTGTGTTCTTGACAATAATTCAAAAGGAACTACCATGAAAAAAATAGCTTAATATGGCTAGCTAACACAAAATAATATCTATACAGTATATAATGAGTTATTGGGTAGCACTGATGTTAAACAGTTGGCCACATGTAACAGAACTGGAGTTGGATGCAATACAAATGTTTTAAGAAAAATCAAACCAGATGTAAAGAAGCATTTGTGTTAAATGTTTATGAATTGGATGACACAAAAGGTGTCTTTTACTTTCATAAATGAAATCTTTTAGGAGACACATATGCAATATTAGAAGCACAAAAATGTGTAAGGAATGTTCAGGGCACTTCATTGGATCTACAACAGAGACCACAGCACATTTTTTTGCTTCACTCATTTCTCAATTTATGGTTTTGTGTCAGTGAATAATATATATACACATTTTTACAAACCTCTTCTTTGTTTCTCATTAATTAAGGGCTTCTTCCTTCCTTTATGGGACTTCAGTCCTGCTTCTAGGAGCCTGATACAAACTGTCCTAGTGCACTTCACACCTGCACTTAATGTTTCCCATTCTTTTTGAAGGTCATTTGATGTAATCCTTCGATTCATGAGAAAGTTAACGGTCATATCTGGCAGCAGAACATGGATGGATGGATCAAATATTTGAGAGAGATTTACTCACCTCAGCACCTAGAAACAGGGGCCTTCATTGTGATGTCACACACTGCCACATTACCATAACGTGATGTGCTTTAAATTACATTGTACCTTCGTTATACTAAATGACATTGATGAAGGGCAAAGTTTGGGATAAAAGTTATTCAAGTTTTAAAATGTTTTTTAGATAGAGTTTCCAGCCCATTATTCTATATATTGTTGCAATCACTAACACAATTATACCGTGGGTGTTCATTTATATTTTCAGTGTGAACTTTTACATTTTAAAAACACTTGCCATTACAATTTCAATCCAAACAGTTCCACTAAAGTACATTTTCACACTTTAGATCATAATAATTTCTTAATTTAATAGTTTGCAACACAAATATGTTGATTCCATCCATCACCACGTAATCCCAACCAGGGTTGCGGGGGGGACTAGAGCCTATCTGTGGAACAACGAGCACAGGCCAGAACCAAACCTGGGCAGTCACCAACACACTTCAGGGCACACAAACTCACAGGGCCAACTTATATTCGCCAATTAACCCACCGTGCACACTTTTTGGACTGTGGGAGGAAATCAGAGCCCCTGGCGGAAACCCATATGAACAGCATGCAAACTCCACATCAGAAAGGTCCTACACCCGACCCAGGGACCGATCCCAGGACCTTCTTGCTGTGAGGCAGCAGCGCTAACCACTGCACCACCACGCCACAGGTTATGATGTACATTTCCAATCATTGATATTGACTGTAAGGATCAGTTATTTCTGCTGCAGTTTTATATAATGAAGGAGACGTTTCACCTTCTTTGCTTCCATGATTTCATACATGTTTTGTGGTAAAATCCTTAAAATCCACTCCTCTAACTTGTGCCAAATCCAGTCCGATAGTCTTCCATCACTGTACTTTACAAATTAGCACAAAATGAATTACATTTAACTTAAAATTGAATCTACAATTACATAAATCTGTCAAAAGACTAATAAGCTAATTTTATAACTGATATAAATAAGTGAAAATATATCATTACCTTCAATCCACAAATGAGGCTGAAAGAAATTCGCTTTCACTTCGAGAAACGTAGCAGGTAATCTCACGAAGCCGCAAGTCACGTTATCGCAGAACTTGGAAATTCTTGCTTTACTTTGTTACCATGACAACGGAAGTACTTCCGGTTATATGCTTCGGGTACTGACCCAGAGATAAATCGAAGTCAACTGATTGTATTTTTCTTCCGGGTGAAGACGGGTATCGCGCCTGATAGCAACCAGGCCGAAAGCCGCCAAGAAAGTTCGTATTTATTATGAATTAGCACACAACTAGGTAGCTAAGTTTACCGGCGTTGAGCCTCGGGTCAGAAGAATATTAAATGTGGTTAGGTGGTCATCTGTTTCTTTGACTAAATATATTGATTTTATTTAACACGGTTAGCTACCTGACTAATTATTTTCGTGTAAACTATACAGTGTTGCTTTCAAATGCTTAATCTGAGATTTACGTCGATATGCTTTTATAGTATTTTTGTTTGTATTTATCTGTTTGGTAAGATTCTTTGCTGCTTGGTAAATATGTTTGACTGTACGATACCGTATATAGCGGGGTTTCCCTTTTCCGGATCTGGTCGGCCAGTTTGCATATATTCTTACTCAGACATACCTACTAAATCTGGTAATGATCCAGGACCGGAATTGGGAAACATTGGTGTACAGTATAGGTGATGTGTTAATATTTCTTGCGATTCAGCAGAACCCACACGGCTAAGTAACTTGCTAACAGATCAGATGTAGAGGTGTATTTTGTGACATTTTCGTACAATTGAATTGATCCAGCGTTAACAAGTAACCGTCTAATTTTGACTGTTTAACGCTTTCCCCCACAACAGGAATGACTTGCACAATAGAGAAAGTTTTGGCTGATGCCAAATTCCTAGTGGAGAGATTGCGGGACCATGACAATGCAGCTGAGGTGTTGATTGAACAGACAACCTACCTAAATAAGCGTGTTGAAGCAATGAAACAGGTGTAGTTATATGCCTCTATATTCAGCCTCCCATTCTTCATTAAATCCAAGCAACATGTCTCGATAATTATACATCTTTAAGGATATATTTTATTTAAGCAAATATTTTATAGAAGCAGGTTTTGTTTCGCTCAAGCATTGTTTATCCATGCATTTCCAGTATCTAATCAAGGGCAAGTTGAACTTGATCTTGGGATACACCGGGTATAATCACTCCCTTTCCTGCAAATATTCCTTTTATCAAAGAAAATGAGATTTATTTTATGACACAAACTAGAGGACTCGGAGGCAAACCAGTTCATACATTGAAACATACAAACTGCCCAAATATATTTGGGTTTAAATTTGAACGCATAACTTGTAAAGTTATAATCCTACTCTGTCACGCTCATATTCCTGTTATTTGGCATATTGAATCTCCAAATATTGTGGTTTGTAATGAAATGTTACTAGACCACACATACTTGTTTTCCCATGCTTCTAGTACCAGGAAGAGATTCAGGAACTCAATCAAGTTGCAAGACATCGGCCCAGATCTGCGCTTGTCATGGGAATCCAGCAGGAGAACCGGCAGATCCGGGAACTACAGCAGGAGAACAAAGGTGAGACTACAGTCTCAAACAAGTTTCTCATTTAGAACATAGTGCTTCTTTATTTTGAATGTTTCCTTCATAAGAAGGAAATAACAGTTGTGTCTCTGAATTAAAATACAAGCCAGGTTGACGTAAAATACAAGCTTTAAACTTTGATTCCATCTGCAGTCTAATTTTCCCATTAACATGATTTGCGGAAACAAATCGTGTAATGAGGGATTCTTTTTTTCTTACTTGTGAGAATAATGATATAACTTGTGTCCTTTGATCTTGGGTTGCCTTCCTAGGTGCAGCACTATCCTACAGCTGTATCCTTAAAGCAGTATATGCCCTTTTACTTTCTGCAGAACTACGCACTTCCCTGGAGGAGCACCAGTCAGCTCTGGAGCTGATTATGAGCAAGTACAGGGAGCAGGTTTTTCGGTTGCTGATGGCCAGTAAGAAGGATGACCCCGTCATCATTACTAAGCTGAAGGAGCAGCACACAAGCGTGAGTAACTCCTCACTGTCAAGCTGCAAGGATGTCCCTATAAGCTATGTGAGCATTGAACTATTCAGCATTAGGGTTGCAAAGGGGCGGAAAATTTCCGGTAAATTTCCGGAAAGTTTCCGGTAAATTTCCATGGTAAGTTAAGCTTGGGAATTTTGGAAATATTCCATATTGGAAACTTTCCATGGAAATAATGGGAATTATGGAAATTAATGGGAATTTAGGAGAACTAACTGGGAATATATTATTTCCAAGCATAAATATAATCAGTCGTGCTCTTTAACCAATCACATGTGACCTCGCCATTTCAACCAATCATAACCCGCCAGGAGCGCAGCCTAAACCCTGTTTACATGAAATAAGCCTGCTCCCGAGCAGGTTTAAGCTTGCGCACCTGTTGCTATGACAGCAAGTCCAGGATGAGCTTCAAAGAACCAAACAATCCAAGATCATGCCAAATCGTCAACAATCAAATCCAGCTAACTGAGTTAGCGACGTACGAAGAACGAGCCCCTGGAATGATCTTCAAAACAAAACAGCCAAATGAGGAAGCTAGCATCTTCTTTATGTTATACTAGCTATGGCTTATTTAGCATCTAACAGATGCTAGCATTTTATTTAGCATCTTATCAGATTGCTATCTACCAGATTAATACATTTTATGTGATATTCAGAATTTAAACATTTAATGAATATATTTTCCCATAATATCATCAAAACTTACCTCACTTGTTAAGTCCACAGGCTCAAATGTGTGCCTTCAATACTCTTTGTCCTTCAGGCTCAAAAGTGTGGTCCATGTGTACATGTGATGGAGGCATGCACAGTGCCAGTAGGTGGTCTCAATAGCCATGCAGCAAGCATGTGCTCTGTACATGTGATTAAGGAATGGCATGGATATTCAAGTGTATTTGAATTGCATTTGTTTGTTTTTGTCAATATTATGCTAAAATATACTTTGCTCAACTATATTTAAGTTCCCTAAGAAGAGCCAACCTTCAATTTTGAAAATTCCCAGTTTATTCCCGTTAATTCCTGTTTATTCCCATTAATTCCCGTTAATTCCCATGGAAAGTTTCCATCTTTGAAAATTCCGGGAATTTTGCAACCCTATTCAGCATCTGTCTGCATAACCCAGTTTAGTATTAGTTTTTCCCATTATTCCTCAGTATTTGCCACGCAGAGAAAAATCTCCCAATCTTTTCCAAACCATCAATTGCCAACAGGAATCCTTCAGTTGTTTTAGTAATGGACAAAATTAACATAGTTGCTGTGATTGTCCCAATTGCAACAAAAATAATATTCGGCATGAGACTAATAAATTAGCAAAATATTTTAAAAGTACCATGATACTGTTGGCTCAGCTCTTTATTGACTGTCCTTGTAAATAATAAAGTGCAATATAATTAAGTCAGTTTAGTTTAAGATCCATTAATATCCGGGCCTCGTTTTTCTGACTTAGTACTATAACTGACTTGTCTAATATGAAAAAGATCCAAAATCTGAAAAAGGTTTTTGTAAACCTGTAATTTAGAATAATTCATTTTGTGATAAATGCAGGGATTGTTATTTACATTTTGAAGTTTATATCCTGTTAAATTTATCTCAGCTGTGGACATTAGGCCACTTCCTAGTAGGGCTGCAACTAACGATTATTTTAATAATCGATTAATTTGTCTGGTTTTTTTTCCCTTCGATTTAATCTTTTTTTTTTTTTTTTCTAAGGTAAGAGACAGCGTAGTATGAGTATGCACAGAAGTTCAGTAAATAAAACATACATAATCTTTTTAAGTTCATGACGGCTGATCTAACAAAGCACAATGCAATTAAATAAATGGACATTGGGTGACGCTGCCAAGTGCTGAGAATAAAAGGGAAGTTCAATTAATATGCAATTAGTCCAGGTACTACTGGAGTTGTAGTTTAGATCACCTAAACCGAGACAAGTCCTGACTGAGACCAGAGTGTGTCGAGACTGAGACAAGACCAAGACTCTGAAGGACCGAGACCAAAACCATGGCAGGGACTGAAGATTAGTAAATGTACATAATAATATAATAATTGAAATATTTTAAATAAGATGAACATCAATCGTTGATTTCTTTCCCAAGTAAAATAAAAATAAATAAATGCAGCACTTGAACCTAAACATGCAGCTCAGTAAGGTTTTTGGAAACTTTCTAAACATTTCTAATTTAGTCCAAATCATGGTGCTTTAGATAATGTATTCAGTACTCCAGTTTTTTAATGTAAAAGCACAGACTACTGCTGCTGCTACTAAGAATATTATTAAATAATTCTCTAATGTTATTTAATGTTGATACACATACATGACGGGGGGAGAGAGCACGCGAGTAAGTGTGTCTACATTTATTACAGACAAACAAAGTAAACATTTATTGCGGAGAAAAAGCCTAAAAATGTGCCAGCTTGCACCCTCGTGAAACGCCATAGAGTTTAGTGACTGAACAGCGCAAATAAGACGATTGGTGAGGAAAAACCCATGAACAGCAGGCGGCAAATTTAATTTTAAAATGTGTCCGGTTCTGTATGCATACTACAGTGATGAACTGTAAATAAGATAAATAACTTAAGGCTGTTTTACCTTGTTCTTTTATTAAACAAACTATAGACCTGGGGCCTGTTTCACAAAGCAAGATTTCTTGCTTAGCCAGATAACTTGCCAGATTTAAGGTAGTTTGGGCTAAATAGACCTTATTTTCATCAATTTACATTTAGCCCAGACTACCTTAAATCTGGCAAGTTATCTGGCTAAGCAAGTAATCCTGCTTTGTGAAACAGGCCCCTGCTCTATAGGAAAGGTAGCCTTAAATGACTTCTGTAGTGATCTGGCGCTGTATAGAAAATAAAATTAACTTTGGATGCCCCCCTAATAGAATGGTAGGGTAAACACTTTGTGGTTTGATAATAGCCGATTGTGTTGACATCTTTCCCAGACAACCACGACTTCACCTGTGTTCATGTGCACACATGTGCGTGTGTGAAGGGGTGGGGCGGGTAACGTGGTCGGCAGTAACATCATTGGTTGCACTTGAAGTGAGAAGTTATCCAATCCGACAGTAAACGGCTCATTAATAGGAATATTCTCAGAGTTCTGGTTTCTGCTGGTCTCGGCTGGTCTCGAAATAAAATCGAGTACAAATATGGCTGATTCAAAGACAAGATTGAGACCTTCAAAAACTGGTCTTGAGTACTACAACATTTTGATATTACTATAAATTTCTATCATTAAGAAACAGTGGTAACACAGTGGTGTAGTGGTAACAAGAAATTTAAGGTGGGTAAACTGTATGCACAGCAGTAAAAATGGTGGGTAACTATTCATATACTTAACATTAGTGATCTAAAAAAAGGTAAGTAAACGCTGTTTTGTAAATTTAAAAGGTGCGTAAATGGCGTTTGTGTGCATTTACCCTCCACTACACCACTGAATGAAAGATTTGTGTCTCCTTTTTCTTTTATGGCGGTCGGCATCCAGCATAATGGTGCTTTACTGCCACCGCGGCTTTGGTTAGCTTACTGCTCCCAAATTAGGGGGTATCCACTGTACTTATGTGTATAATAACGTAGACCCAAGTAATCGATTATTAAATTAGTTGCCAGCTATTTTAATAGTCGATTTAAATCGATTTAATCGATTAGTTGTTGCAGCCCTACTTCCTAGTTTATTCAGAGCTACTGAAGATCATTCCCCATGGTATAATGGGCTAACCCTAAAACAACAATGGTCCTTGATTGATTTAGCATTAGCAGAAATAGAATTTGATGCTTTCACTTGATCTCTCTCTTTCTCTCTGTAGGAGATGCAGTCACACATGGACAAGGTCAATGAAATGGCAACAGTAATGAGGAAGGCCATCGAGCTGGATGAGGGCAGAGTGTGTGTAGATGAAGAAAGAATTAAACAACTAGAGGTACTGTCTTTTTGCTTGCAGCACTAACTATCTGGGGCTTAAGTGTCAATTATTTAAGGGTAATTATATGAAAACGTGTCATTTCCCACTCTTACGGCTTTATTTTCAAATTTCTGTTTTCAAATACAGTGGTGCCTCGGTTCTCGAACTCACTAGAACTCGTATTTCTGGAAAGTCGAACAAGCCAGTTTGACCTAGAACTCGATCTGAATATCAAAAGTCGAACCATGAACGCTGAACTAATATAAATTGTATGTGCCAGGAAATGAGTCATACTACAATGCAATTCTTACTTGAAGGCCTTCTACACAGACTGGACGATTAACCAAATAAAGCAGCGCAACATTACAGTAACTAACAATAAATAAGCCACTAACTTGCGTGTACTGTTAGAGCATTTATGT